GTCTTGGAAGTCTTGGTGAGGATCTGTTGTTAGGCAGTGTCCTTGAACGGAGCGTTTTGCAGTGGAAATCGTTGCTGGAGGGCTTTCATCTCAATTGGGTAACGTATCTGTAATTTTATATATACTAAACTATTTTTTTCCAGTCTCTCCCTTATTCCAAGCGACTACCTTCTGACCTGGCAATCAGATTTTCTTCCAGTATAGGATCTTAATTGAGAGGCATTTTCTGCCTTTTTTCAGAGTCAGTACTGCTAGCAGCCGGGAAACTGAGTTGGGATTAGTTGTTCCTGTATGTTACAAATGGGGTCGTTTGTTAAAATACCTAATTTGTGTGTAAGCAAGCTGTAGGAAGTGTCCCTGATGTGATCTGCAGGTTTCTGTATTAGCAGTCGTGCTTGGTGAGGAACCTACCTATCTTCATTGTTCTCAAAATCCCCAAGACAGCATGACACAGATTTATTTGGTATTTTCTATCTTATCACTGGAATTCAAGTGCAGTGGAAGCAGTAAAGATACAACCTTTGTAACACAGGTCATAAGCAAGTTTAGACAAGCACGTGCTTTCAAAACTTGTAAACTACCAGACTACTAAGTGAATTAAGAAATAAATGCTCAGTCTTGCAAGATTCTTGGCTTGCTTATCAGAGTCAAATGCTCTAAATTCTCAGCGGTTCTTCTGGGCACACTGAAGAAACATATAAAGAGTTTGGTCGATCTGCCTTTGATAATGCTGGCTTTCTTAATCTGGCTTTGAGAATGCTTTGAAAATGAGTGAGACATGATTAGAAGTAAAATTAAACAAGAAACAAAACCGTTCTTAAAACAAACAAAAAAATCCAAACAAACAAACAAACAACAAAACAGTGTGAGAGGTAGTATCAGGCCAGCTCCAGGTTTCAGAGGGTGTGAAGTGGAGTGAAAATTAATCTTTCCTGTTAGTAGGGCTTTGTTTTGGTGAACACTTTCTGTGGACTGTAGAAACAGCACTAGAGATTGTGGAGCTAGAACTGAAGGGAGGGAGCTCCAGTAAGTCAATGTACTCAGTGGTGATAGTAAGGAGAAAAAGGAGGTTTCTGTAGGCTGAAGATGCAGTTTTCCTGAGAAAAAGGAATACTTGAGGTTGGTGGTCTGTGTAGTAAAGGCTGGAGGGGAAAACTCAACAGGGTGTATCCTAATGAGTGTTTTAGAGAGAGATGCTCTCAGACTGGAGGGAGAACACAGACAAGGAGAAACAGCAGTAAGTCTGGCCCAGCCTGAAAGGAAACCCAGTGCAAGCTTGGAGGCCAGTGTAAAGCATTTATGGTGTGAGTGGAGAGTGAAGTTGCTGTAGCACATGGTTTATATGCAGTCTCCAACTGGGGCTGAGAACTTGAACCTCTTGTTTTTTTTTCTGTGGAGTTGTGGAAAGCAACATAAGCTTTATGTAGAACACTTGAAATGCACGTTCCTTCATATGGAGAAGCTGTGGTCAAAGAGGCTCTGTTGTCAAATACACTTTTAAGCTGGACTTGATGTTTTCATTTTCAGAAATCTGGTGACATTGTGTAAGCCAGACATCTTTCTGCAATTCTAAAACTTGTTAGTGTCTCCAGAGGCTTTGACTGGGCCCAGTTTTTGGGAGGGTGCATTGGGTAAAATGTAGTTACTGGAAAATTGTTGAGTTTACTGTAAAAACTTCAGGAGAAATAATTGCTGATGCTGAAAATAGCATTTCTGGCACTTGCCTGCGGCACCTTGCATTGGCATTGTGTTTCTGCACGTGAACTTTGTACCACCATGAGACGTCAGGTTTTTGTGTTCAGAGGGCTGTGACTAGTAAATGGGAGAGAGCTGTGTGGATCCGCTGTCTTATAGAAACTGGCCTTTCAGCTTTACTTGTGCCTTTTCCATTGTTGGAGAACATAGCAGCTCTCTTGTAAACAGTGTGTTGGATCATTTTACAAAAAGGGAGAAATGTAATTTGGTGACGTAGGTAATTTTTTTGCTTTATAGTGTTTGTAGACTTGGAGAGTGGTCTTACCTTCAGTGGCACTGTACTTCACTGTACCTGTAGCTATTCTGTGTTTCAGGGGCTACTTTCTTGAAGTGATGAAGGCATTTGTCTGGTTGGAAGATTGCAGTAGTTCTGTTTTACAGATTTTTTTTCTGATTTACAGGTTTTGCTTTGTTCTCCCTCTTCTTTACCCTCTGCTTCCCCCTTCACCTTTAGGAAGCTAGCAGGATGCACCCTCTTCATCACGGGCGCAAGCCGGGGCATTGGCAAGGCCATTGCTTTGAAAGCTGCCAAGGATGGTGCAAACATTGTGATAGCTGCCAAGACAGCTGAGCCCCATCCTACTCTTCCAGGGACTATCTACACTGCTGCAGCAGAGAGTAAGTTCTAATAAACAAGGGTGGGCTTCAGTTGCTGGGCTGGGTGTATGCCCTGGCTCAGCTGTCATACCTGAGTGAAAAATGGCATAGACTCTCTTAGCTTCAATTCACCTTTAGTAAAATAAGCTTTGTGCTTCTCTAAACTCCCAGGAGTGCTGAGAGGTATCAAGATATTATTGTAATGAACATGTGTGTGTATAGATACGAAAATGCTGTGTTGATTGAGATACATGGATGTAGCATATACTTTCTTAGTGTTAAGATTTGCTTTTGGCTTCCCTGTTCTATACACAACATGTAAAAAGGTTGCAATTTGAGAGTGTGATTTTCAGTGTCTTCTCGAATGAATTCATGTAATTGAATGACAGATTCTCAGTAGGTTCATCCCATTTGTTCCATCTTAGAGCAAATTTTAAAATGTTCGATTTTTCAATTGTGCAGTTGAAGCAGCTGGAGGAAAGGCTTTGCCATGTGTTGTTAATGTGAGAGAAGAACAGCAAATTATTAATGCTGTGGAGAAAGCTGTGAAGACTTTTGGAGGTATGTTAAGGTGTGGGGGAGATCTTAACAGGCACATTGAACAAAAAGAGAAAAGAACAGCCTGCCTTACTCATGTTTTGTCTTTAAATGCTAATGTGAAATGGCTTATTTTAAAACCAGGGATTGATATTTTGGTGAACAATGCAAGCGCCATCTCTTTGACTGGCACTTTGGAAACAGAAACGAAGAAAGTCAATCTTATGATGGATGTCAATGTACGAGGAACCTACCTCACGTAAGTGCTGAGAGAAGGGAGCAAAGTAATTGTAACAAGATATATGTTTTTATCTCATCTTTTTTTCTGAGAACTTGTGTAGCTGTCTTGCTCCCCTAGAGTTGGAGTGCAGGTATTCTACATGTGCTCAAAGGAGATTGCTCAGCTGTTGGCTAACTGATTTGAAATTAATATTTGCAAGAATTAATTGCAATTTGAAGTAAACAGGAACCTTATTACTGTAATCATTAAGTGTCCATGCAAGTAGGAAGCAGTAACTAGATGATTTCAAAGAGAGCTCCAGCTTGGATTTGCTAAATGCTGTCTTCTCTTTCATTTCAAGCAAAATTACTCTTTTCATACATGAAGTGCAAGATCTTGTCTGCTTCATTCTCATAAGCTGCTTTCTTGTCTTTAGAGAGTATGTTTTACCATTGTTAGAAATGTTAAAGATGTGACTTAACAATATGGAATGTTCTCTGCCTACTTTCAGAGTATTGTATCAATTCTATCAGTTCTTTAAATTAACAGTCCAAGATTTGATTTCACAATTCCTGTGGTAAATTTTTGGAAATGGATTCAGTCAATTGAAGCTGCTGTGTTTTGAAATTAAAACTTTGATTTTGATGGAGCTGTTTTAAAAAAAAAAAAAAAAAAAAAGCCTTAGGATGATGCAGGTTCTCTAAATCCAGTTTTTGCTTGATGTGATCAGGAGCTCATGTGTGGATGTTTTGTCTAGAACAGTACCTGTCATCCTCCTTTGTGCAGATGAATGTGGTTATCAGATATTATGATTATATACCTTAATGTTCTTTTGCTAAGAATAGGTGAAGGGATTTTCCATTTGGATAGTGTAAAGCCACACATAAACAGCAGCTTTCTGAGTTAGAAAGTCACAAGCACAGCATGGAGAGAAAAGAAAGGTGGAAGAATGCAGGCAGAGTTTTTCTAAGTGGGATTTTCATACTTCTACCCTGTGGTGTCTGCTTTTGAAAGGCTGCAAGTGTAAGTGTTGCTGTACTCAGAAAGGAAAATAGTTTTTGGAGCTGGGCATTTCAGAAAATGCTCTGTGGCTATCTGATGCTAAATCTGTGGGTGGGTTTCACAGCACTTCCAGTGGCAAGCTCCGTTTCCCCTCACCACCCAACATACTCATGGGGAGTTCTTAAAGTCATCTTTCCTTTGCATGCTACTCTGCCTTGAAAAGGTTAAAAAACAATTTCTGTGTTGCTGCAAATGAAAGAGTATATGAAAGGTCAGTCCCTCTCAAGGCAAGTTACAAGCGATCTTTGTTGTTGCTTTTTTAACTGTCAGCTGGGAAGAACTTATTAAGCATTTCAGCATTTTCTTCCCCTTGCTTTGTCTGTTGCTTCTGTTCATGGTTTGTAGAGGTCAGGTTTCAGTTTAATGTTCAGAAAGTTACAATAGCTAAAAAGGAAATCGGTGTGGGATTTTTGCCTTCTGTGGAGGAGGTAGGGAGCGTGACCCAACTTGTGGAGTTGTTCTGCCAATGACCAGGCCCATCAAAGATGATACAGCCAATAGGAAGGTGAACCAATACACAGACTGTATTGTAAGCAAAAAGGACATTCCATGAATGATCGCTGGGGGTACAAGCAAGTCAATCAGCTGGTACATAATTGACGCCACCCCCAACGATCCCAGAAAAGATGTGACTCGGCCCACAACAGGTGGTACAAACAGTGAACTGAGGTTTCCCATAGTTGGCATGGGAAACAGCCAGATCACCAAGTTAAACATGTAAGAAAAAGGTGCCCCCATGGCAACTCTCACCCAATCAGCTTGCATTTGCAAAGGTCTAAACAGAGCAGGGTCCAGCTCCAGGGAGAGTCAGGAGGTCTGCCCTGAACCAGGAAGCTCTGTGGAGTGCACTCCACAGGCAGACACTCCTGACTCCCTGCCAGTGGTCCCAGCTTTTATCCCCAAGCAGACCCCTGACCTTTGTTCACTCAGTGAGGGACCCCTGGGGCTCATTTCCCTTCTGGCTCTCCCTGCAGGGCCGGCCGCACCCTGGGGGGAAGCTATAAGGCAAACTCACCACCTCTGTATGAAGGGCTGTGGGAATCACCCCTGTGTCAACCTTAATTCGGGGCTCGGGGTTCAGACCCCAGCATTTCAGGAGTGCACCTATTGACGTAGTCTTGGTTCCAGCACATTAAGTATTTGAGACATCTGTTTGTGAACCTCACTGCCACTGGTATGAGTTGAGACCCCTGGACATTTAAGCAGGTGGTAATTATTTACTTTACTGCTTTATTAAATTTTGCAGTTGAAGGTGTCCCTTCTGTGGCTGGCAGTATGCATGGGTCCTGTTGCAGTGTGTCAATAGGTCATTCGTGTAGCTCACAGTGCTGCATTCTGCCTGCAAAGCTTGTTGAAAAATTCACTAGTGGAGATCAAATGCAGACGTACTCTAGTGCTAGAAGTGAAGGCAGATGACTATTTCTATAAAGTAAAAGTTAAGATTTACAGATGTGTAAATTCTGAGTTGCATGAAATAGTGACTCTTCCAGTCAGCAGAGTAGGTTTTCAGTTTTGCTTGGAATCTTTGTAGTAGCTTTTCACTATGGGGTATTATTTTTTCAAGGTGGTTTTAAAGAAGAAGTAGCTTTGGGTAAGAAGAAAATATATTTATGTTTAAATTATGCTCTGAACTGTTAATTTCAGTTGTTGCCTTGTAGTGTTTTGTTGCCCTACTGGAAATATTATGACGAGATAATGGCTTTCGAGCATCTGGAAAATCAGCTTTAGTAGATGCTGCTGAGAATGCTGTCTGGTTAGTAGGAGTGAATACTAGTCCTGAGATAAGTGAGCTGGAACAGACTTTTTTTTTTTTTCTTTTCCTTTTTATCTATTAAATAATTGATTCAAGGGCAGAGTCTCAACTTAGGGTTGGGCATTTACAAAAATGAAAAAAATGGTCTGCTAGTATGTTTTTTACTGTAATTATAGGTGTTCATAAAACAAGAGGTGATCGATTTGCCTGAATCTGTCTTTCAGGTCTAAAACATGCCTTCCCCACTTGAGGAAGAGTAGGAACCCCCATATCCTGAACCTGAGTCCACCTATGAATCTGAATCCCATGTGGTTCAAAAATCACTGTGGTGAGTAGCACTCAGAGCCTTTGTTGTTTTTTTGTTGAGAACCATGTAAATACTTGGTGAAATGTGAAGGAGTGTCAGCCCAGAATGCAAGGTCTTCTATCATTAGCACTATGTGGTTGTATATATAGACAGGCACTAATGGTTCCTGATAGTGCTCTGTTCCTAACCTAAAAGAAGTTTTGTGTGAAAATATACTGTAGGTTTCATGACCTGATATGTCCTTCGAGTTTTTAAGAATTTTTCAAGGTAAGAACCTGTGCTTTTTCATGGCAATTCTCAAGACTACAATGTATTTCTGTTCCAAATAGTGATCAAAACCCAAAATCTATTTTCTTATCAGTTTGCCTTCATATTTGATTTAATAAAGATAAAGCTCAATGTTTTCTTTTAAAATGCAGATCAGTTTTGAGCTGGCTAAGGGACATCGTTTTATGTTGAGGTTAATGTTGCTTATTTTAAAACTAAAAAAAACGCCCCACCTTTCAGTTTTGAACACTTGTCATGTTAAATTCCTCCAGCAAGTCTCAGTCCCAGTTCTTTCCCGCAGGAGTTTCCCTTCTCAAAATAGATGACTAGGATTTAGAATTTCTCTTCTCTTCACCCCCGCTTCCCTCCTCCCCCCCTTTTTTTTCCTATAGAATACTAGTTTGGACTTCAGCAGCTAGTATGCCTTAGGCTAACTGAAAAAGCTGGCACTTCTTGACAGTATTCTGGGTATAAGAAGCACAACAAAACCACCGTACAGCTAGGCTTCTGTCATTGGTTTTGTCAAAACATGCATAGCACTCATTTTATGTGTAGTGAAAAGATGTCAGACCACAGTTTGTCTGCTCGGGGTGCTGGGCAGAAAGGAAAGATTTTGACTCTAGGAAGATGCTGTTTCAACCCCAAAAACTTCATTTTCCTTATGAATAAATGATTTCATAGAATCATTAAGGTTGGAAAAGACCTCTAAGATCATCAGGTCGAACCGTTACCCAACACCACCATGGCCATTAAACCATGTCCCCAAGTGCCACATTTACATGTTTTTTGAACCCCTCCAGGGATGGTGACTCTTCCACCTCCCTGGACAGCCTGTTCCAGAGCCTCACCACTCTTTCAGGAGAGAAATTCTTCGTAATACCCAATCTAAACCTCCCCTGGTGTAACTTGAGGCCATTTGCTCTTGTCCTATTGTTAGTAACCTGGGAGAAGAGACCAGCCCCCACCTCACTACAACCTTCTTTTAGGTAGTTGTAGAGAGCAATAAGGTTTCCCCTCAGCCTTCTCCAGGCTAAACAACCCCAGTTCTCTCATCCGCTCCTCCTAAGACATGTTCCCCAGACCCCTCACCAGCTTTGTTGTCCTTCTCTGGACCTGCTCCAGCACCTCAATGTCCTTCTTTTATTGTGGTGCCCAAAACTGAACACAGTACTCAAGGTGTGGCCTCACCAGGGCCAAGTGCTGGGGCATGATCACCTCCGTACTCCTGCTGGACACACTGTTTTTGATACAGGCCAGGATGCCACTGGCCTTCTTGGTCAACTGGGCACACCACTGGCTCATGTTCAGCGGTCTGTCCACCAGCACACCCCGGTCCTTTTCTGCCAGGCAGCTTTCCAGCTACCAAGCCTGTGGCATTGCTACAGATATTAAAAAGACTGGTCCCAAAACTGAGCCCTGAGGGACACCGCTCGTGACCAGTCACCAACAGGATTTAACTCCACTCAACACAACTTTCTGGGCTCGGCCATCCAGCCAGTTTTTAACCCAGCAACAGGTCCACCTGTCTAGGCCATGGGCCACCAGCTTCTCCAGCAGAATGCTGTGGAAGACGGGGTCAAACGTCTTACTGAAGTCCAGGTAGACAACATCCAATGATTTCCCTCATCCACCAGATGGGTCAGCTGATCGTAGAATGAGATCAGGTTGGTCAAGCAGGACCTGTCTTTTATGAACCTGTGTTGGCTGGGCCTGATGCCCTGGCTGTACTGCACGTGCCATGTGAGCACACTCAGGATGAACAGTTCCATAACCTGCCCTGGTACCAAGATCAGGCTGACAGGACTGTAGTTTCCCAGATCCATCTACATCTTCTTGTAGATGGGCATCACATTGACAAGTCTCCAGTCATCTAGGACCTCACCTGTTAACCAGGACTGCTGGTAAATGATGGAGAGAGGTTTGGCACGTTCCTTCACCAGCTCCCTCAGTACTCTCGGGTGGATCTCATCAAGCCCTGTGGACTTGTGGGTGTCCAGGTGGCCTAGCAGGTCTTTAACTGCTTCCTCATGGATTATGGGGGGGTTCATTCTGCTCTCCATCCCTGTCTTTCAAGTCAGGGCCAGAATACCATGAGGATAACTGGAATGACTATGGAATACTGAGGCAAAGAAGGCATTAAGTACACCAGCCTTTTCCTCAGCCTTCGTGGCAGTGTTCCCCCTCACATTCAATGAAAGGTGGAGATTCTCCTTGGCTCTCTTTTTGTTGTTAATATATTTGTAAAAACCTTTTTTTATTATCTTTTACCACAGTGGCCAGATGGAGCTCTATCTGGACTTTTGCCTTTCTGATGTTCTGTCTGCATGACCTAACTAGATCCCTGTACTCTTCTTGAGTTGCCTGCCCTTTCCTCCAGTGGTGGTAAACGCTCCTTTTTTTCCCAAGTCCTAACAAAAGCTCCTGTTGAGCCAGGCTGGTTGTCTGCACTGATGGTTCATCTTAGGACACGTGGGGACAGAAGAGTATCTTCTTGATGAATGTCCAACCTTCCTGGATGCCTTTGCCCTTCAGTCTCCCAAGAGACTCTCCCCACCAGTGCCTTGAACGGGCCAAAATCTGCCATTTGGTTACCCTTCCTTCATAATTAAAGTTCTGTTGATAGGGTGTAAATTGTTTTTTTTTTTTTATACCTCTTGTTTTAGCTTATACTATTTCCAAGTATGGGATGTCCATGTGTGTCTTGGGAATGGCAGAAGAATTCAGAGGAGAAGTTGCTGTAAATGCTTTGTGGCCTAAAACAGGTGATTTTAAATCTTTTTCTTTTTAATGGTACTAAAATAATTCTTTTCTGTATTTTATCTTTTACAGCTTGTTCTAGTTGACTTTGAATGTGCTTCAGACTTCTTCTGGAGTTGATTCAGGAGAAGTACTTTTGCTTATTCTTTGTTCATCCTGCATGGGTGCTACCTTTCTTTCCTAGTTCTTACTAGACCACTGTTGCTTTGGTCCAACCTCATCCTCGGCTAGTTTGCAACCCGTCCAACCCTTTCAGTTGGCTAAAGCTTCTGTGTAGTATTTGGCTTGTCTGTGCGTTTTCTCATGCACCCAAAATTTTGGCTTTGACAGAATCACAAATGCATTATCATGCTTTCATTAAGTGGATACATCTGCCTATGTGGTACTATTTAGAATTCCTTGTTAGCTAAATTGCCAGACTGGAGATGGAACTGACAAGATACATACCTCTGTAGGTGCAGAAATACTTCTTAAAAACCCAGTTCCTAGAAGTTTTGGTGTAGTGGGCCAACAAGTTGTTGTTCACAGAACCATCTGCTGGCGATCGCAGGAGATGAAGGAGCTCTGTGGAAGAAAACCGACTCGATGCTCCCACACTGTATTAACTGCAGCTGGTGTTCCGCGGGCTGGTGAGGGTCAGGGCTGATGTCTGAGGTCTGGTGAACTGTTTGCCAAAGAGGCCGGTCTCTTCAACCCAAATGCATCTATGTGAGGAAATAATACACTGATGTTAAAATCTGTAAAGACAGTGGGCAATCCTGCCCTTTAATGCTGTGAGCCCTGTCACTGTGTCATGAAACATTTTGACAGCAGATTTTATTCCCTGAACTGGTGGAGGGAGGGGGAAGTGAAAATCCAAACCAGAATCCTCTTCTGAGGCTGGTGACCCAGTGTAAGAAGTGTTTGTATCCAGGCACTTTGCAATGTTTTCCTTTTAGGAGTTACAGGCTCCTTTTAGCTTCTAGCATGAGCTAGAACTCTTGATTTCCTTCCTGTAAAGTGAGGAATATGAGCAAAACTTCATTATTTCAAACAAAATCAGCTCAGTTTCTTGGCGTAAATATTCTAGGTGATACTTAGTTGAACACTTGAGTTAGTCTGTACAACAGACCTGGTCCTCTTCCATTGGTCTAGATGTTGCACTCTAAATTCTCCCAATAAATGTATGCCTCATAATTTTGCTTGTGCACTGAGATTTTTCCATAGACATATTTTGGTAAGGGATTGGCTTTTTGAATTACAATTTTTCATTATGATTATATTACTACAAAACCTATACTGTCTATTTTGTCAAGGATGAACTCTTCATCTTGGATGTACTGAAGGCAGTTGGACATGTGGCTTCAGAGTCTGGATTGCCTTCCTGGCAGCGGAGTGAAAGCTCAACTTTGAGATTTTGGGGCTCGGTTGTATGTTTTTTTTTTTATTTCTGAAGGAGTTAGAAAAACATACACTTGTTTCCACATACTTGCTTCTTGAGTGTCCCAGGGAAACCTCAAGAGAAGTTTCGATGGAGATTTCCCAAAATCTGTCTTTGTCATCTGGAATAGAGCCATGCAACTTGGTTCTTAAAGCCTTTAGATCCCTATACCTTATGCCCATCCTGCCTGGCTAGTCCATAAAACACTGCTGCTAAATGGGTTTTCTGTCTCCTCAGAATCCTATATGTAGGAGTAATTAGGTTTTTCATTAGCAGAAGTGATCTTTTAGCTACCATCTTGTGTTTTTTAGTCACCTGACTGATGAAGCCATGTAAACTGCATATGAGAATAAGGGACAGTGAAAGAACTAATCCATTCAGACAGAGATGTGGTGTCAAGCTGCAGACAACATAACTACTTTGATTTATTTTCTCATGCAAAATGTGCTACAAGATTACCTGTGTCTTGTAAATGCATGTATTTACTTGCTGCATAGGCATGTTATGTATTCTAGTTCTTCAGCACCTTCTCTCTGATTCTGATACGCTGGAGGAAACATCCACTACTATTGTGGAAATGAGTTTCTGCTTTTATGAGACCAAACATACTGTTGAGAGCTAAAGAATTCTTCCTGTAGAGACCAGATGGTTATACTAGGTCTTTATTTTTTTGGTGTAGGTATTTTTCCCTGCCCACCTGAAAAATTTATCCTCCTGTTTTACATGGCAAGGAAAAACAGAACCTGTGCTAACATAATAAAGAGGATAACACCGCAGTAGCTGGGCATTGTTATAGAGTGCAGCTAATACTTGTTCCCCTAAGGAACCTGCAGAATGTGAGGCTTGGAAGTGCAGGAAGATTCAGTTTACAAATTACAATAGTACCTTCTATGAAATGCTGTTTTTAATGAAGATTTCTCTCTGTGAAATGCTGCAAAGTACTTTAAAAAGTATTTGAGGTTTCTGTAAAATCAAAGGTATGCAGACAGGGTTTAGTATTTGCTGAATCCATTCTTCTTCATTCAGTTTAAGACTTTCAGAAACACTAGATGAGCTCTCAAATTTTCTATAAATCAGTGATGCCTCCATGAAAACTGATGAGTCCTGAAGTACAAAAGAGAGTAATGTGCAAATTCTCCAGTACAAAGAAATGTTGTTTAGACAGACTTGTCTTCCGAAAGTGCGAAAGTTAACTACTTTCATGTGGTTACTCAAGAAGGTTACGGACTTCCACAGTCTAAAATACAGTTGCAAAGCTTGTAATTAAAAAAATATACTGTAATCTCATAAAAATGTGATTAACCTCAGTGTTAGGATGGATGCCAGTTGATCAGACTAACCCTTTATATGAATTAGGTGGAACATCATGCAGCCAGATTTGCTTTTGTTTGTGCACATAATTTTTAATGTGCTCATAAGAATACTAATTGACTGTAAGAGAGAAGTGGCAGAAGCATGGGCTAGGAAAAGTGAACAGGTTACTGGGTCCTCAGAAGAGTGGAATATATTCAGGTCCACAGAACCTGGTAGATTTCATCAGAGTTATTTGACAGAAATATTCTCTGAACTGTTGGGAGTTACTTTAAAAATATTAAAAATCTTGCAGGACAGATCACTTTTCAGAGGACCACAGACAGACAAATTTATTTCCTGTCTTTGAAAATGGGAAAAAGACCCAGGGAGACCTAGGTGTATGTACAGTGGATCTGTTTGCCAGTTTTTATTTGGGTGCATATTTATAGCAGTTGAATTAATTTGAAAAAAAAGTTGAGGTTGGTCAAAGTTAAATGAAACCTAGGGACTTATCCTCACCACAGAAGAGGGAAATAAGGGAGTCAACAGGGACATCTACCTCCTCTTGCACTTTCCTAGAAAACTTTGACAGGATCTCCCTGGCCAGCACTGAGGACTTTTTCCCAGTGTCTGCTTTGAATGGTGAGTGATCCAGCGTGGATAGATAATTCCTGCACAGTTCCTGTTCTTTGCTTATTAAGGGATGTTGGGATCATTTCTCCATCAAAGCTCCTGTTACTTGGTATGGAATGGAAACACTGAGAGGAGGACAAAAGCGATTTAAAATCAGACTTAGCCTTGTGCCTTCAGGATCTGCCAGCCCCGGGTGTAGGACAGGATTTCTGAATCTGTCCCAAAACTTGGGGGCAGAGTGTTGAGTCTTAAATAGCAGATGGGAAAAAGTAATGAAGCAGAACTGTATGAGAGGGAGGGAAACAGTAATGTGGCATATGCCAAAAGCCACAAACAGACAGCCTGTCTGTGGAACAGGATGAAGAAAAAAGGAATGGATCCCTCAGCATGGAAGAGCAATTTACAGACTTAGACGGGAACATGCCACAGTGTTAATAGCTTCCTCTGGGGAAGTTTAAAGAAGACTAATGGAAATCTACAGAAGTTAGCAGAATTGGTTAATAAAACAACCGGAAGATTAGGATAGGTGGATTTTATTCTTGTCTAACACGACCTTGAACAAGTTATTTAAGTTTTTGCTGTTCGGTTTCTCGGCGATTTAGGAGGGACACTCTGGTACTGCATGGGAGTTGGTACAAGGCGTTACAAGCATCAGTATTTTCAGTGTGATAAACATCAAAGGAAACTTAATGACTGTCATATCATACATGACCTTTGAAAAAAATAGTTGTCCGGCTAGTTTTTTGTCTCAATAACCTGGAGGAGGTCCATGGGGGAACACTGATAAAGGGGTAGAGGCACATAAATGTCATGACTTTGGTTCCTTTTTGCATGGTGCTTGTACAGAGTTATTTTTTCAGTTAATAGTGTGTCTTCCTACAATGTCCTTTTTTTTTCATGAAAGGAAAACAAAGTTTGTATGTTTACTGGAGAAATGAGAATTTCATGTCATCATTGTTAAAGCTTTATTTTCTTACCTTCTAAACTTTCTAGCTATACATACAGCTGCTATGGATATGCTGGGAGGATCTGGAATAGAAAAACAGTGCAGGAAGACGGACATCCTTGCAGATGCTGCATACTGCATTTTAACAAAACCAAAAAGTTTCACTGGAAATTTCATTATTGATGAAGATCTGCTGAGAGAAGAAGGAGTTAAAGATTTTGATAGCTACGCAATTGCACCAGGTAAAACAGGGCTTGAAGATTAGAAGTAAGTTCAGGAAGGAGGAAAGGGTGTATGGAGAATATTGGTACAGTTCTGTTTCTAGGGCCTCTGAAATTAGTCTGTAAGAAGTTGCTTTGTCTCAGCTTTCAAAACATGCCTTCCTGGAAAGAACATACACATCCACTGATATTCTAATATCCAGTGCCTATTAAATTAAAAAAAAATACTTTAATGAAAAGAAAATGTACCTGCGCTGTAGATGCATATATATTACTATTTATAAGCCAGTGAGATAGACTTTTCCTTCTTCAAATGTTTTTCATTGCAACTTTTAAGAGGCTTCAAGGTCAGATTTTAAATTAACTGAAATCTAAATGTTATTTTGTGCTACGTCTTTCCTTCAAAGTGTGTAATTAAAACTTGGCTGTAGTTTCATACAAAATGGATTCCTGTTTGTGCTGTGAAACTTGGTTAGGACTTACTGTTAACATTTTCTCTGTTTTTTAGGTCACCCCTTAATGCCCGACTTCTTCTTGGATGTTGAAACTGACATGTCAGCCATGAAACAAGAAGGACAGGGTAGGGAAGGCACTGTGTGTAAAAGTCAGTAATTTGTGACAATAATGAATATCTTATCTTTTTCAAGTTTTATTTTCTTTTAAGAGCTTGGACTCCAAGCTATTTGGCAAAAACTCCTTTTTGTATTTGGAAGGTATGATTTATGGAAGCGACTGTGCACTTAAAGCTACGGAAAGAATGATACCTTTTGCAGGACTTTCTTGATGTAAAATTAATGCTGTATTTTGAAGAATTTTTAACCATCTGAACTGTGCTAATAATGTAGGTCACAGGTAGATATCACTGGTAAAAGAAATTAAAAGGCAAACAGCACATTTGGCAGGAGTGTCTCATTTGCATTCTTAAAATGACACAAAAGAACATAATGTAGAGCCTCGGTTGTTTCTTGCATGAAACTTACACAGTTTACACAACTGAAATATCTCACAGAAGAAGTGGAAAAATTTTGATTCTTAGCAAAGCATCAGTTTTCCTTTTTCAG